ACACACACACACACACACACACACACACACACACACAATGTATTTTAAGATTGGTAGAGACTGACACAGAGAAGCTGAACTGAATCCTTTATTGGTTGTTCCTGTTTGGAGGGTAGGGAGGACAAGAAAATAGCTGGAACTTTGGAACTTTACGTCTTCGCACTCTTTTAATCTTTGAAACACCAGATCTATTTATTGTTATCCACAACGAATTCTGACTATAATAAAGAGGGCTCTGCTGATCTCTAGAATATCAGTCACAAAAACATAGAAAAGTATTCCCAAAGTAATCATTTCCTCAACAATCTATCATCCAATTTTAGCCTGTATTTTGATCTGTGGGAAAAATGAACTACTTACTATCAGGAACCATTACTTCTCTTTTGACTTGTAAGTTCTAAAGTGATAGGAATGTAGTTAACCACATGAAATTCTCTATGACTTGGTAATTGCTGATCACAGCCATTTCTTACTTTTCTCACTCCAACATCATGCCTTCTTAATTATTTCATGTACCCCTTCCCAGCACTGCACAAATGTGTCCCTTTTTGTGTCATTCATTCTGATGCAGAAAAAGGGAGACCTTAAATGGCAAGGGGATAACAACGACAGAACGGAGAAAGATCTTACTGATAACATACATACAATATAATGTAGAGAAGGCAGATATGGTTAGTCCTCATGTCATACGAAATAGGGAACAAGGAGTTGCCCCAGTTCTGGTACCAAAATTACAAACAACAAGGGTAGCCTGAATGCAATGAAAGAAGGGGAGGAAAAGCAACACTTAGACAGAATCTCACTATCTTTGCCTTTTCTGTCTTACTTTTATAAATATGTGGCCACTAGGTAAAGCCAAATATAAATTCTGATTGGCAAAGTCTTTAAAAAAAACAAAACTGAACCTCTCCTGACTAGTGTGCCCTATATACTTTTCTGCAAGGAATATTTAAAAAGTGATTTGGGAACGAGAAGAAAGCCAATTTGCTTTATCTATAGCAATTTCAGGGTGAAATTTAAAATAGTAATTAATAAAAAGAAATACTGGGTTCCAGGAAGACAACTAGAAATCCATTCCAAGCTGGTCTGTCTGTTCAGATAACTGAAATCCACATAGTCCCCAGTCTGCTCCTAACCAGCAGAGTCAATCTCTTTTCCAATCAAAGCCTTTACTAAGGATGTAAACAAGTAATAAACTAAGTATTCTATTTGGATAAATTGAATGGCTTGAAGGTAGAATGAATTTGGAAAGACATTTTTAAATTTAATGTTTTAAGTGCTTGGTCAAATATCACGAAGGAGGTGAAAAGAAAGACAGCTTACTCTCGTGAACAGTCATCTAAGGCACAACTCTCCCAGGCTGGACAAAAGAAGAATGAGGGCAAATTGAAAGACATATGGAAACATGTAGTCCAATGGGCTAATGAACCACACAAACATCAGCCTCTGTGACATTGAGACCAGAACTTGAAGGCACTTGGCTACCACTACCAAGTGCTCTGAAAAAGATCACATTAGTAAGGATATTGGCTAGTGCAGGAGAAAAGCATAAAACAAAATCCCAAATCATAAAACAATCAGGTTTACTGGTCAGAGAGAGAGAGATGGAGAGAACTCTGAAGATTATAGCCCTTAGTCACACTCCGGTCTGAAACTGAACTCAACCCTATGTTAAAATAATCAACCACTGAAGACCAAAAGGGCAGCATTTACCCAAGGGTTGGGAAAGGAGGAAGGACAGAAATAGGAAACACAGGAGGAAGTGAGATAAGCAATGGTACATTGAAGGGAAAGAGTTGAAACCAAATGTGTATGGACCATGGAATATAAAAATGATTGATAATCTGCTCTGTAAATGTTCACCGAACTTATAATTAAAAGTTTCAAAATGAAAAAGAAACACAGTTTACTTTTAAATAAGAAATTCTAAGAAGCTAATTATTTTTTACCCCAGCTCCCAAAAGACCAAGAATTGATCTGATGTTCAACTGTCAACCAAAACCTCTGGTTCCTGGGCCATATTACAAGACTCATGCTTATGAGGTAGATTTGTCTCTAGTTACTAGGTGGAAATCTGGGCACCAAATAGTTAAGTGAACTTTTCAGAATCACACTGGAATGAACAGCAAAATCAAGGCAAGTATGTAAAACTTCTTAATGGTCTGCATTACTATCTTTAGTCCAAATTATTTTTTACCTATCAATCTACCATTAAGAGGATGAATCATGGTAAAATCAAGTTACTTAGGTCTCTAGTATTGATAATAGAATAAGGTGGGAGAAAGAAATCAAGACTATAATTTTATATTATAAATATCAGCAGCACTAATATTACTTAATACAAGTTGGAATGTCCAATATTTTTCCTCTGAAAACTCTGATAGGCTTATTTTTTGAGCCTGCACTGGCCAGCTCAGTTCAACACAAAGAATTGGCTATTCTCTCGTACCCTATTCAAAGAGGAAGGGGCTTCTATTTTAGGCCAGAGCTAAGTATCTCTGAGAAATCCTGATGAGCTACTGGAAACCAAAATTACGGCTTTGACTAGACTTCAATGAATTTGTGAAGTAATTGGATACATAATCCTGATTGAAGTTTGTAACAGTAATGAATAAAAAACTATGTACAAGGATGAAAACTGGAAATAGAATCTGAAACAGTTATAAAAGTATCAATAAAATCCTAAGATTATTTCTTCTTCAACTCCTTAAAAAAAAACAACCCCAAAATCTAACCAATGCTATAATTTCATTTGTTATTTCATTAAGGAAAGCGTTTACCTCTCTATTTCACAGGTAAAGAGGGATATTTATGATGATCATTTTCTGTGATATAGAATAGCTTTGCAATATTTCCAGCTATTTGAGTTTTTTATTTTCTTATTATGAGTGAATCAATAAACATGCTTTCTTATAAAATACCTGCTATAAACAAACACATAGCCTGTGACACGAAAGACTCATATTTTAAAATATAAGCACATTTTAGCTTCTTTTCCCAATTTTAAAGAAAAATCTATAGTGATAGAGTAGCAGTTCTCAGGAAATGCCGGAAAATTCATTCTACATGTCTCAGGAGATGATGGAACTATATGACGGATGCTAAAAGACAAAAGATCTTGGCTTTGCTGCTCTTTCTTTTCCTAAGAGGCCATCTTCCCCAAAGCAAGTCTTGCCGAGAAGTTTCAACGACTAAAGATCATCAAGAAGTAAAACACAGTACAAATTCTCATTTTGATAACGCTAAAAACTTAGATTTCAAAACAAATACTGGAGACCACATTAAGAAAATCACCCATCCATATTGGTACATTCAAGGGCAAGAGGAAGCAAGCTACATGCAAGGTTTCATTAATATTGAGGTTAAAAAACAAAACTGGTTAGGTATCAGAGTTGTGTTCTAAAGAGAGCACGCACATATTTACATTCAGAGAAACCTTAGAAGTCAACATGCAAACAGAGGACATACACTTGTCACCACAGTAAAATAGTACTTTAGCTCACAAGGCCATTGATGAAAAACAATTGATTTCAAAACAAAGTACAAAAACAAATAGGTCTGAAGTGCATCAGGAAAACAAAGTATATAAATATATATATTTTTAAGCTTGTCACACTGGCTAAGTAAGTATTGCTTCTAGCAATATAATTACAAGTCATAAAGAAGCTGTGCAGTATTTTAATTCTGAAAAGGATATGTTTATGTATAGATCTTGAATAAATCTGTATTCCGGGGCCTTTAAAGATGGGTAGGAGGAAGAGTAGTCTGGGAAATTCCGCCTTAGCTGGAAGCTAAGGGGCACCAGCACCATTTTCCTTAAAGTACCAACACTCTACTTGTGAAAAGATGGTATTTAATCTTTGCAGATCTCTTCCACCCATCAGGCAGGAAACAGTCATCTGCCCTGCACATCTCACACATACTCAAAAAAAGGCCACTGAAGTCAAAAGCCCTTTTCCAGAAAAGGTCTTTGTATAAACTGGTTTGATATCCCAAGAAAAGGAGTGGTAAGGGATTTGTAGATTTAAATGCATCATCTTAAGGCTTCTGAAAGGTTAGCAAGTCAAATTTTGCCCCTCTGCACTGAGGAGCCCACACCACACAAATGACTGTAGAGAATTAAGAAAGTGTTCCATTAAATGTTTCAGGAGTATCCTGCTTTGTGTGACAATTGAGGAAAAGGGCACAGCAACAATAAACATGCAGGATGAGAGTTACAGCTTTTGGGGAAAATACCAACCTACCGTTAGTTTAAATATGATTGGTCTATGTAGCACAAAGGTTTGTTAAACCTCAGTGCAAAAAAACTGGCTTGGGCAATCTATTGCTACTCCTTTATACTCCAAGTGACACAATCCAGGAAGAGTAACATGTTATTGACAGAAAAGTGATCATAAGATCTCCCCAAGGCCAGTGAACTACCAAGATGAGAGGGCATGATACAGGTGATAACACAGTAGAAGTAAGGGCATTAGTTCAATGGTCTTAGTCTTGACATTTCTGATGAGCACATCAGGTCATGAGCACCCTGCCTTCTGATCACAGAAAGACCAACCACCAAACAGCCAATACAAGGACCACGAGAAAAGACATCATGAAAGGAATACGAGGAGATGGAAAAGTACTAGAGTAGAGGTGGCACTTTCTGAGAGACTTGTGATCCTCGGGTATTGGAATAGAAACCTTGGGAAGAATGTCTTCATTTTCTTGCTGGGGCAAGGCTCTTTCGGTAGATCTCTCTTGCCTTTTACTTTTCTCTTCATCCTGTACTAACAGAGCACGTTCTTGTGTCTGCTTTCACGGTAGAAGATCAAGAAAGACAGAGAAAGATGAACAAAATGACAGATGGAAAGTGCTCAAAAACGATACTTGGGGATGTGCAAAGGATTTGGGAATATCTTTTGGATGTGCTCTACTTTAGCATCACTTTAGTTTGGCCATGTATCCTGGCAAAGTATCCATGATACAGTAAGGTGTGCAATAGAGAATTTTGTGAGTGAATGAACACTAGGACTTCTGAAAACTTAAGCAATCACTAGACTTCCTCATCGTATTTGCTCTTCCATCAGAAGATATTCGCATATGAATTTTGGATAATTTTTCATTGTTTTAGTGCTACCAATTTTTCTTAGAGCAATTGGGCAAAGCCAGTAATGAAGCATTATTTTTGCCATCAGAAAAGTTGCTTTTATTATAAATAGAATGGCAGAATATAAAAAGTTCTCTTTATATTGACTTAAAAAATGCAACAGTTCATTCAGGATGGTATGTTAACTAACTTTGCTCATGGGATTAAAATTTGTAACCCTATGTATTTTAGAGACTGCAAAAGAAGAAGTATAAAAGTTTATAATGCGCCTCCAAGGTCTACTTAAGTGATTTAGTCCTTGGAAACCTTAAACATACAAAAACGAAATCCTACAAAATTTGAGTAATTGTAAACTCTCTTCCTCCTCCTCTTTCAGAGTCATGATTAATAATAATAATAACAATGATGATGGTGATGACAATCATGAAGGTATGCGTGTTACATTAAGCAAATACTTTTGATACTTTAAAGGAATGCTTTTGTCCCCCCACCCCCGTTCCCCCTATTTGTCCAATTGAAAAGCTTTCTCCCCTCCTCCTTGGTGTCTTGTACTCTGCCATCCATAGTTAAGACAGATGTCATCTATGAAAGGAAAAACTTGGCTCTAAGTTCTCTCAGTTGAGCCAGCCTTCTCTGATCAGCTTGGAAGCTTGAAACTGGTTCTTTGCACACCCCTAAGTGATATGTATCAGGGAGAAAGTAGCTGGGGGACTGGTCAGCAAAAAGAAAAAGGAAGAGAAAGGATGCAAAATTATAGTGATTTTTAAAATAACAAAAAAGGGAGAAGAAAGACAACATAAAAAGAATAGGGAACAATTAAATTCATTTTCTCTCTGAAAACATATTTACATCTTCATGCAGCTTTTCAACCAGCCATGCGCCGAAATAAGCAAATTGAAAACTGCAAAAGTTGCAGCAGTGGAAGGTTTATGTGTTAGGGCCAAAAGGCTGTGAGTATGAATTCACTACTGCAGCCTAAAGGAAAAAAAAAAATTACTCAGCAGCTGCTGTTCAGTTCTGGGAGGGTTTTCTGCTTAGTGCCATGGCAAGAGCAAATTCTGATTTAGAAGCACAAGTCATTAACAGCAGCTTTACCTCTGGCCCACCAACCTTTCTTTCCGAGGGAAGGATAGAGATTTTCTTCACCTGGTATACACAAATTACATAAAATTCAGTTGCCGTGCAATGCAACAACAATGCTATTGAAGGTGGAAGAGGTATACCCAGAGAACAGACATACTGTCTTAATTATTAAAGAAAAAGTAAGAAATGCCGAAAGTGAAATTATCCCTCTCTACGAAAGGTTATCATAGCACAGTTCTTATTTATGCCATTATTCATTTGGAGGGGTAATGTACATAAGCATGGAGCTAAAATTGCTCAAGTACTCCCCATGGGTCTGAGTTTATAAAAAGTTATTTTTTTTAAGTTCACAGAATGACATCTCCATTCCCTGACATAATTTCTGGAGAGTTTCTGTTAAAACATATGAAAATTTCTGGAAATGGAGAGTAATTCAAGTTTGCTCAATGCCATCCAAGAGAATTACTAAGTTATTATTTTTTAAGTAGTTAAGTATCTTTTATTACTTGCACAGAGTCAAAATAAAAACTTCTAAAATATGCAGTTCTGGTTCACAGGGAGGGTTAACCAGACCACACTTGAATAATGAAGCTTATTTTCTTGGAGACATAGACTTAAAGATTTTTATAGTGAGGAGGACCTCAAAGATCATGTAACTCAGGAACTAGGGTCCTGACAAGATAAATTGTTCAGAATCATTCATTTAGGTTCTGATGAGCCAAGCCCTCTCTGAAATCAAGCCACCACTTCTGCTAGGCTCTATGACTGACTGCTAGTGGCATCACTGTCTCAGTCCAGGGCACATTCTCCAGATTCAGAGCATGAAAATGAATGTTATTTCTATCAGGGAATGGAGGCTGAGGACAATGAGTAAGAACTATGGTTTCCTACCATTCCTGATAATCTATGCCATTCGGGTGTTCTCTAGCCTTGGTGAATGAAGCTGGGTTAAACTCTGTTTGGAGACCTGTTAGTCAACTGTAATCGCATTTTTGAAAAATACAACCCTTCGTGGATTGACTTTTATCATCTTCTCCAGTTCCAGAAACTAAACAATAGCATTGATAGTTTCCCATGAATTCTGCTTGTGAAAATTAGTTTTAAAAATTATAATTACTTTACATTTCTTAGCCAGAATTACTATTTGTGTTTGGGGAGGGAGGAAGAGAAACAAGGATATCATTTTTAAATCATCACAATCACTCATCAGATCATTGTGACTATTTTTATAAATATTTGACCTCTACAGGCTAAAGATTAAGAAAAGAATCTTTGGGTATATGCTCGCTGCAGAGATTCATTTATTCTAACAGGATTTCCAAAATAGGAAATGGCAACAATAACAGAAAAAACAGCCCCTGAAAGGTACCTCTGACCCACTCTAGTTGTGACCATCTTATAAAATATCATATTAAAAGTTCAGAGTTACACTTTTTACAAAGATAAAATAAACCATCAGAGCTTTTATAAAATTGAATTATTATTATGAGGAGTTGGTCTTCTACATTCTTAGAGGTCTCTTGGTGAATTATGTGATGTGGCCAGTCATTCCAGACATTTCTAAGTTGTACAAATGCTCAAATAAAGTTAAAAATATTTAAGCCCTTCCCAATTTTGGCCTTACTAAATTTAGCAAACTCCCCGATCCCCAAAGGCACAGTCTGAATATAAACAAAGCTCTGCTGGCCTACGGTCAATGTGTAAACACGCACTAGCCGGAAGCATGCAGCTGCAGTCCTCTGCTCAGCATTTACTAAACTGGGTAGCCTACATGATTTGAACCACTAGAGTTTCATTAGGTGTGCCTTAAAGCTGCAATGAATTGGCAAGGCACCGAAGCTAAGTGTCAACTTTAAATTTTATAACAGATCTGGAGCATTAAGATAAAAAACGTTATTCCATTTATTCTAACACTTGGTCATACCGAAACAGTACTCACTCCGTCTCCTGAGGGGACTTGGCCATTGATGTTAAGTGTTCGGAAGGGGGAGTGAATGGATAAGCGTTTATCCCACTCACTAGGCCTCGGTTCAGGCACAGATTCCATAAAGTTCTTCTTTAGCTCACTGATGCTGGCATGGTGTTTTTTGATATCTTCTTGGCTCTTATCTAAGTCCTACAGTTGAAAGGACAAAGGTACAAAACAGTAAATACTCAGGACAAAAAACCACAACAGAAGCAGCCCATCAGAGACTATGGCACTGTAGAAAACACATCTAGGATAGCATTCAAACTGTGAATATACAGCATGGGATATTTCCTGTGATTTATTTTTATTTTTTTAACAAGGTCCTTTCTTGGAAGCAGTGAAGCATCATAACCCCAAAGATTTTAGCAGTTATAAAACAGAGCTCACGCCTTAATTTTGCGACTTTTTCCCATTATGATGCAGTGCCAGATCTCCAACTCCTCATCCCAAGAAGGTAATCCTACAATTCAGTTAGCACCAGCTGGATATAACCTATTTAGGTTCAGCACAGGCAGGATGGAGATAGCAATAGATAAGGATAAGCCATTAGATGGAGGCCATGGTAAAAGATTCCACTGCCCCCTCTGGCTGTTTTACATTGGTAAGGCACAAAAATAATTGTACAGAATCCCTCTAGTTCCATGCGAGGACACTTTTGCTTTTCTATTACTAGGTGGTTAATTTTCCTTTTTGTTAAACAGAAACATCACTTTTTCGATATAAGAATTCATCATTGGAATTCCTGGTTCAATGCTCTGGAAAAGATTATTAGTATTTAAGAAAAATTACTCAAGGGTATGAAATATTATGGCTCTTTCTTTGCCAGCACTATACAATGAACTAGGTTTTCTGTTTTCCAACTTCCAACAGATTCACTTCATTCCTTATTACAATTCAAAATAGGAACCTTCTAGTAATCGTCAATGGAGTGGGAATAGATTAATGGGAGTCTATCAAATATGCTTCCTTTGTTTAATATAACTCAATTGTTCTAGCAGCTTTAGATTCTGGGCAACTAGGACAGAGATATCAAAGGAGGTGCCACACAACTTTGAAAAGGGAGACTTGACTGAAAAAAGTCTGGGAGATACAACAGGAAGACAAAAACTGTTATTTTTGTCCAACACACATCTCTGAAAAAAAAAACTCACAGATCTATGCTTGAGATCAAAACATGTGGGAGCCCATAACTTGATACTATGAAGAATTCTCTGTTCTATATCCAGATACTGCTGAATCCAAGAAAAGGATAATGTTAAGTGTATCTCCTGATGTGCTGTATTTGTGGATTCAGCTGTCTTTTTTTTTTGCTCTGTAGGGAACAGCTTTGTTTTGGGAAAGATAAAATAAAATCAATCAATCAATAAAACTGATTCATTTAAATAGAAATTTGCTAGCACATTTTCTTTCTGAGGGTAATATAAGCTTCAATTAGTAAAATTATCCCAAAAGCAACAGCAAAGGGAAGTAGCATAGGAAACAGAATCAGTGAGACACATGACATCAAATTGTATTCTGGAGGGATTCAATCAGGAAATTCAGTTACTAGTCTATATTTTTATTACACAAGACTAAGTGATATCTAATTGTTTGGAGATCAGTCAAAGAGACCACTAGCCCAAAAAGTGCGATCCTGTAGTTTCCCCATAAGAGCACCTCTTGCCTGCTGGGATGAAATGTGAGTGTATCTCATGACTAGGGGCTTCACTATGGGAAAACAACAGTTTGCACTTTTGTTCTAGCTGAAAGCAAGAAAGAATGTTTACTAGCTAAGGAAAGCGTGAGTAAACTCAGTGAGACTCTATGGTAGGTTGACTGGCATATAAGGCCTTGAGACCCAGCTCTGAACTGGAAATAACATAGATTTGGGCCAGAAAGCACTTAACACACATATATATATATACACCTGTTGCCATGGGGTCAATTCTGACACATGTGTAGGAGGGTTAAAAGTGTGAATGGAAGGAAACAAAACGAACCAAATATATTATGGACAAACCACAACTTGCTGGGTTAGTATCTTAGGCCTTTCATGGTCCGTGGGATATATAGTGCACATCTACTCTGCCTCTGGCTTAGTGGGAAGCAGGAATCCTATTGTTAATGAATGCTTCCATCTGGTGGGAATCTGTATAACTGCTGACTCTCAAGATAGACTCCATGCCAACAACCTCAGCACCAGAGACCCCTTGAGACAAATATATGGCCCACTAATTGTACAAAAATCCATATTAGCAAAAAAATTCAATTTCATTCAAAATGTCTTCTATTAATTAGAATACATGATCAAAATTTGTGAAATTAATATTGGCTCAAAAGGGCTAATATGAGAGACTGGTGATTTGTTATTTTTCTCTTCTAGCTTTTAATTAGTATGGAACCTGAGGAAATAAATGTTTCAGTAAAATCAGCTATCTTCTTAGGGCACTTTCTCCATCCTTCTTAGCTGGCTCTATTGGAAACCTGTGGGGGCACAGAGTGAAATGAAGATCTCAAAGGGACCAGTTCCAAATAGAATTTATCATAGACACTTGTTACAGGTTCTCTCTGGGAGATGGAGGAGGAGGCGGTAGAACTAAAAATGAACTCGACCTTCTTTGTGCCAGAATAAAGCATTAGTGGGGGTGGGGTAGGAGCAGGGGAAGGAGGAATGCTTTAAAAAAAAAACAACAAAAAAACCCCTGCTAGAGTGACAGATAACTTGAGAGATTTCCTTGGGGGGTGGGGGTGGGGAGAAGAAGCAAACTTCTTTTTCTAATATCTAAATAATGGTCAGTTATCTTGTCTGCTTTCAGAATAGATATTCTTTATGACTTTTTAGACACTTTAAAAAGTTACACACTATTTCACTATTTATCTTATAGTTTTAGCAGCAACCAATCAAAAACCTAAACCAAATCCATTGCTGTGAAGTTAATTCCAACTCAGTGACCCTGGTACAACAGAGCAGAACTGCCCCATCCGGTCTCTACGGCTATAAATAAAGAAGACTGCCACACCTTTCTTCTGAAGAATGGCTGATGGGTTCGAACCACCAACCTTTGGGTTAGCAGCTGAGTGCTTAATGACTGCGTCACAAGGGTTCCCTTAATCACACCAAACTTTTCATTAAATATAAGATGCTCTCAAAAAGCAGTTAGTAGTTTTAATTTCCAAACACACACTTATTTAGGAATATCCTCTCACAGCTGTCAGTGTAACGCTGGGGGAAAAACACACCACACACGGGGATTTTGTGAGTCTCAAAGCCAAAATACCACTCATGGAATAAATGACAAATATATGATTGGTACTGTAGGTTCCACTTAAGAAGAAACACTAAAGATGGACTAGTCAAGAAACACACACACATTTGGATTGGGATATGCTGAATTTAAGGAGATGATCTACATTTACTACCCTTCCTCATCTCTGAAGAAAGAATCATTTTGGGTCTCAATTCAGATATGGGCTAGGGCAAAGAGGTCTAAGCTACTGTCAGGTTTGAGATAATCTAGGTTCTAGGCTTGGAATGCATCACATTACAGGGAAAAAAAATCATATAAGGCACCTGGTATTTCATCCAGTACCCAGTGCATACGTTAATGAAGACTGGGCATTAGTAAGATTTTTATTAATTTTATCAAAGTACCTTATATAGCAGTCACTCAAAACATATGTACTGATAAAGAATAAGATAAAGTTACATCATTACTAGGAGCCATATATTTAACAAGAGATTTATCTAAAAATGTTTTTTCAACATTCCAGTTTCATAATATTTAATTCATTTTATATTCATTTTTCATTTTAACTATCTCCATTAAAAACTGTCTCTACAAAGAGGCTTTTCTTCCCCATTTTATTTAAGTAAATCTTTGCCTTTGAGGTGAGTGATTCAGAGGGCCTTAGAGAACACAGCAGAACTGCCCCAAAGTATTTCCAAGGCTGTAAACCTTTGTAGAAGCAGACTGCCTCATCGTTCTCCTGTGGTTATTTAGGGTAGAGCTTTATAATTAGCACAGCATAACAGTTATTTCCATTATGGCTTTTAAAGTTGTGATCATTTTATTGCTACTTCTTTACTCATTTTTTCATATTTAAGGTCACAGTATTTTTGGATTTGAAGAAAACTTAGCTAGATTCTTTTGTCAGCACAATTCAAGTCACTCTTGTGGGATGAGCGCTCACTAAATTAAAAAGTTTATCCAGAGGATTTCTGTAACTAAAGCTTTATAGCTTCCTTCAGTAACACATCTCAATATTCCAAAAATGCTCATGTTGAAAATGTTTGCTTTTTCACATTTATTTAAGTGAAATCCCTGATGCCACGAGTTTAAACTTACTTCTTTAGGTTCTCCTGTGAGTTGGAGCTGTAAAAAAAATCCTGTCACCAACTTCTATACAGGAGTCTTTCTGATGTGTAAATGTGTCTGGCCACAATACTTCTTCCACATGGAATGATTCCAGTTTCCTTAATTTTTCCTCACAGATCTCCTGGAATCTTCTACGTAATATATATTTCAATCCAACGTGGAGCCTTAAACTAAATAAAGAAGCCTAATATATGTCTGCTAACAGTCTGATCAATTTCCAAGTAGAAACAGTGCAGCTTAGTCAAGCTAGATAGAGCTGGAATCAATACCTGCCTTCACCAATTTGCCAGCTCTGTGACTGTAAGGAAATAAATTTATCTAAACCTCAATTTTCTCACCTTTAAAATATTAATGCTGTTATCTTCAAGCCTGTCTTTAGGAGTAAACTGTCTTATCACATAATAGCTACTCATTAAAGGCTAGGCTTCTTCCTTTCCTTTATCTTACTCCCCTCCTCCCTGTTTAGCTCTCCCATCGGTTTCTGACATCTCTAAAATTTTAAGTTCATTCTGAATTGGGATAATTTCACCTACTAGTCCACAGTGTTTCATGCAGTGCAAATGTGCTTCTTGGGAACACATAGGAGTTTATATTCTTGCAAAATACAAGGAACTTTCTGAAAGTAGGTAAAACCATGGAACCATAAGTAGCAGAGGTAGTCCCAATCATATATTTCTTTTAGGTAAGTATGAGAGATGGAAACTAAAAGGAGTCAGGAAAGATGGTTGCATGTGTTCATGTTTACCAACATGCAAAAGCATTTTAAACCTAACAATTTATCATGCAATGGCATGCAAAACCAAACACAGCATAGAAAGAAGAAAAGGGGATCAGCAAAGAATGCAGAAGGTTCCAGGCAACCAACTGAAATAAGCTTCAAGTTCATACAAACCTCCAACATTAAATTGCTATGTCTGATATAAATGCTTTCACCATCTAGTCTCTCTCTTTTTTTCTGTGAAAATGAAAAGGGGAAAACAGAAAAGCATAAAAAATTAAAATGTTGTTCTTGCCAGGAAAAACTGCAAATTGGCAAACCAAAAAATATTTAAAAGTAAATGTCTGCAGTGCAGCATATGCCAGCATGAAATGGTCACAGAACCACAAGGACACACAAAGCCCATGACTCCCTCTAGAAAATGGGTGACTTTGTTCATGGAAAATGAAAGAATGTGATGAGGTTATTTAAATAGACAGTGCTCCTGGCTTCATTGGCTTCTTACACAGTAAGCTGTGTTACGTTCATTTTTGAAATTGAGTTCTGCTATATATCGAAATAGATTGATAACTTTCATAAGAAACATCTAAGGGTATTTTATACACAACCAGCCAATATCCCAGTAAGTAACAACTGTCCATTTCACTTTAAAGTTGGAGGAATAAGGAACAGAGCAATCAAACCCACAGGTATTAACAATACTGGGCATTGCTTCCAGAATGGTTTTCACAAGTATATATAGTGTTATCAACAAATCTATGAATATGAAGCCATTAAAAATATATCATAACATTTAAGTATAAAGGAAGGCTTATTTTCATGAAATCTCCTTATAGCATAGAATTTTAATGTTAAATTTTTTGTGATGTATATGCATTTATATCTATTGGGGAATAATTCTGATTAAGAGAACTCAATGAAAAAAATGGATCACTGTCTTTTTAATGTGCTATGAGTCAGCATGGGCGAATGGCAATGCTTTGTGAAACTGAAAAATGGCTAACCTTCCTCATTCTTATCAGATCTTCAGTTTTTTCTGCAACCTTCTGTTTTGCCATAATTAAAAAAAAGAAAAAAAAAGATAAAATATTGGTTCACTTAAGTTTGTTTGAACCTTCATTTGATAACTTTTTTTAAGGAGGGAAGTTGGAAAAGGAAAAAAAATGGTGGTGGTTTGGTGGTGAAGGGTGGGGGCGGGATAGGAACAAGTGACCTGTTGGCACAAACCTGAGTTTGGTCACCATTTGAGGTGGGTACTGTGACCTCGATGTGGGTTTTTTCCACCTACATTTAAGAAATAAAGTGGCAAAAATATTTTAGGTTAGTTGGGTTCTGTGAATAGCATTGTTTAAAAATAAATGGAAACTTTCAGCTGGTTGTGAAGTATGCTCTGATATGTAATCATCATGATGCAGACTTGTTATGATGGAGGGTTAGAGGGAAAGGGTATCATTCCCAATAGCAATCTGTTAGTTCATCTTCACTTTTTCAAGGCTGGAGAGGTACTATGGACATCTAAATGATCAAAAAAGAAAATTAATGTAATTATTCTGTTGGTGAAGAAAACATATTTATACTTACTTATTAAAAAGTACTTATTTTAAAAATTTGGCTTCTTTAATGCTATAGCCATATACTTTCACTTTTCTTTTTTGATGATCTGGAAGTACTTTAACATTTAAAAAATCACAAGTGAAGATCTCAGTGTATAATATACAGGTCAGTTAGAAACAAACAAATTTTTATAATGAAAACACATATAATCAACCATATATAACATCAAACAAGTACAAACAAGGATTTTGCTAGATGATAAATTTGTTTAAGGAGGGAGTTTGATTAGAAAATAATACATCAAAATAAATTCTATCCAAATTGTTACTGACACATGCAATTACTTTCAGGGCTATTTATACATAAATTCTGCTGTAACATTCAGCACTTGCAATCTCTTTTCTAGGAAACCAGAATCTATGTGTTTGAGGGAAGGGCAAGACTCATCCTTAATAGCATGAAGAGGATAGCTAAGGCCTTCTGCCCAGCTTTAAAATACATACATACATACATACATACATACATACATACATACATATATATATATATATATATAAAACACCCTTTATAATAAAACACACTTGATATCCACAAAATGGATATAAATATTAAAAAAAAATCAAACCCCAAGTCTATTAATAATAAGCATAGTAGAGTGAGTAATGCCTGTAACACTGGATATTTCAAAATCAGAACACCATTTTTATTAAGGGTCAAAGCAATCATTTTGTATCATTCTTACAAAACCCTATCAATCTGTGGTTTTGACATATTCTTTTTATCACACTTGTAGCACTATTTAGGAATACCAGTAACTATGAGATCTACTCTAAAACTGCATGCACAGAACATAAAATAACAACACACCTTGTGACACTGTCAAAGGATAGGCACACTCAGCTATAGCACTTTTAACTACCAGGAGTAATGAACAACCCAGGAATTTCTATTTTGAGCCCCAGTATACTTGCCACATGGGTAAATAACAGATTATCTTACTTCCCTGAATTTAGGTTTTCATATTGGTAAAATGGGGATAATGTGTTACTTCATAGAGTCATGTATGCTTAATAAATGATTGGTTTTAATCATTCTATGATTCCTTCTTTAAATGAATAACAAATAACAACTTATTTTTGGCCTTGAGTCCTTTAGAAATCCAGCAGCATGAAATTGATAGCCTCTTATCAGCGGTTTTCAACCTGTGGGTCATGACCCTTTGGGGTCGAACGACCCTTTCACAGCGGACACCCGATTCATAACAGTAGCAAAATTACAGTTATGAAGTAGCAATGAAAATAATTTTATAGTTGGAGGGTCACCATGAGGAACTTTATCAAAGGGTCGCGGCATTAGGAAGGTTCAGAACCACTACTCAATATCAACCTAAGGATAAAGGCCGATTAGCAACAGTAGTTCTATGTATGCTCTTTCAGAGAACAGTAAATGAAAGGAAGATATACATAGGGGAGAAGTGTCAAATGATTCAAGATTGGCAAAAAGCTCTATCTGTCTGTCACCAAATTAAGGTTAGATGGTGAAATTTATACTGTTGCCAGGTTCCTTTATCACTACTGTTGCTTTATGTAATATATATGGCTTTAGGTAAAAGCCCTAATTATTTCCCAATTGCTGAAAATAAAATCAACAGCTGCCCACTGCTATTGAAACAATTCTGATTCGTGTTGGTGTTGTTGAGACAGTTTGTACTCGTAACGATCCAAGTACAATAGAATGAACCACTGCCCTGTCCTGCACCATCCTCACAATTGTTCTTATGTGTAAGCCCATTGTTGCAGCAAGTGTGTCAATCCATCTTGCTGAGGGTCTTCCTCTACTTCACCAAGCATGATGTCATGTCCTTCTTCAGTGACTGGTCTCTCCTGACAACATATTCAAAATCTTGCTATCCTTGCCTCTAAGGAGCATTATGGCTATACTTCTTTCAAGATTTGTTGGTTCTTTTGGCAGTCCACGGTACTTTCAATATTCTTTGTCAGTACGATAATTTGTTATTATTTTTATCTGCTTTTATTTTAAGCTTAATTTACTCCAGAGCCATAATTTTTTGCATCTTTAGTTTCTTCTGGGATATCTTTTTCTTCTGTGCAACCTTCTCTGCTAGTTTAGAATGAATTTGTTCCTTTTTGGTAAGGATGATTTCAATGTGGCAGGGGGAGCTCAAGTGTGGGTTGATCAGACCATGAGCTCTCTACGTCCAGCAGTGCACCTTGGAGGCTTTGTTTACCTGAATGTACTCAAGGCCAGAGAATTCACATTTAAAGCCTTAGGTTCAGCATTACTCTTCATTTTTAAGCATGTGCAGCAAAAATTCTGCACTCTTTTTGGGCCACCAATCTTGGGTTCAACTCCACTGTTGGGCCTGTACACACTAATGCCGGCATTGTAACGCTGGAAGGGCACACATTGTGTTTATAAAGTGACATCTTTTAAATAGTTGATGGCTTTCTGGATATGCATACCCTTGATGGCCTGGGCAGTTTCACAGATATTCTTAAAATAGACCCAAAGATTTGACTCTTAATTTGCATGATTTTGTGGGGTTTTCTGGGTCAAGTGAGTAGCAAAACATTTTGGTAGATCACCTTAGGCCACTTAGGCAAGAGATCAGTACCATAATTAAAATGCGTCAATTCTTCTTCTTTATTCAATGTCCAACTTTCACATGCATATGAGGCCATTGAAAATACCATGGCTTTCATTAGAGACACCTTAGTCCTCATATTGACACCATTTCTTTTCAACGCGTTAAAGAGGTTTTATGCAGCAGATTTACTCAATGCAATGCATCGTCCTTTGATCTCCTGACTGCCACTTCCATGAACTTTGATTATGGATCCAAGCAAGCTAAAATCTTTGACAACTTTAATCTTCTCTCCATTTATCGTGCTAACTATAGATCCAGTTGTGAGCATTTTTTTAAATCAAGTAGAATATTTTATGAAATAACAGGTAATCTTGGGCAGTCTTCAGCTATGAGTTTTATAATCACAGAGCTGTGAGGCTGGGAGGGGGGTGGGTGCATGGCTAACACAGGATTTTGGTTTTCTCCACATTGAGTTGTAATCCATGCTGAAGGTTGCAATCCTTTATTTTTATTAGCAAGCACTTCATGTCCTCCTTGAAGGACAGAAAAGGAACAGGCTGTCTATGTCTGTGAAGTTAGCCACTGAAAACCTCATGGCGAGGACCTGACTCACAGTGACCCTGTAAGACAGGATAGACCTGCTCCCTTGGGTTTCTAAGAGTAAACCTTTAAGGAAGCAGAAGGCCGTCTTTCTCCCTTAGAGCAGCTGGTGAGTTCAATCTAATGACCTCTTGGTTAGTTGCCCAATGCTGCACCAATGGCACCACCAGGCCCTCTTCCAAAAATCTGCCACCACTATTACAGCAATTGAAGCTATCAGAGGCAGCATTACGTTTAACTTTAAAGAGTATCTCAAAACACATATTCCATAGAATGGGTGAGGAGACCCGCCTATGAGCACTAACAGCTGACCGGGAGCAGTTATCACAGAGGATCTCTTCATTCTGTTGATGTCACAAGAGCAAACGGAACTTATTTTTTAAAACACCTGCAACTGTACATTAGCAGAAAGCCAGAGGAATCTTAACCACTCAAGAAGTTTCCCTTGTAATTCTAGTAACCCAACACTTTTCTACTTGTATAACAAATGGAAGGACAATCAGAAGCGCCTGGTGAGATATTCTAACATTAAAAGCAGGTAACATTAAATAGCCATTAATGACAAGAAACTTGGTAGCCAATGTCATGTGCACCAGGTTAGGTATAAACAAAAACACCCACCATTTCTTCAACCTCTTTTTTTCCTCTCTGGACTCAAGTTGGTTTGAAAGGACAATAAAAACTGCAGATTGTTATATTAACAGGTTTGGGTTTTTTTTAAGATAATACAGTCAAAACAGAGGCATTGGCTGATGCTGTACCATAAATAAACTAGATATTGAACTGGATTAATCCATCTGTCAAGTTGAAAGCACTTATTAAAGTCTCACAGTGTCTCTATAAACCACTGCCACTGAATTGATTCTGAGGCTGTGATTTGCTCTTCACAGGAGCAAATAGCTCCATCTTTTTCCCACAGAGCAGCTGGTGGATTTGAACCATGGACCTTGTGGTTAGCAACTTAGCTGGCAGGACCATCAAGGCTCCTTTTAGAAGAGAATAAAACTGACCTCACAGGGTTCTCAAGCTTGTAAAACCCTGAGGAAGCAGACTGCCACGTCTGTCTTGCCCTCAGCAACTGATGAATTCACATCAGCAACCTTCTGGCAGCCCAGCACTTTAACCACGTACCACCACAGGTTCTAACGTCCTAAATAAGGTTTTACATTTCTTAACAAACATATAAAAATGTAATTCTTTTTAAGAAGGCTACTTCTCATAATCCCTGCTGTCAGTAGTGAGACTTGTATTTACCTTGTAAATCTGACCTAGCAAGTCAACTTCATTGGAGGGTAAATGTGTTTAAAATGCTTATCAACATATAAAAGATTAGTCTAGTTACTGTTACTCCTGGGAAATCTCCTAATTAAATTGATGCTTTTCCCAAATGACTAATTGACTGTGAGCACAAGCAACTCAGAACTGTAAGCAACTCAACAGCATAACCTCTCCTAAACAATGGAACTTCCCTTCTTTGAAAAGCTGGCTTAGGATCTGAACAACCATATAAATGTGCTTTAGACCTAACCATACAGATGTCTTGTTCTCTGGAGATATAATCAAAATATTAAAAATCAAAATATAATATTTTAATTACAGAGATATGATAGCTGCTTCCATAAATATTTACCACCTTGGAAACACTCAGGGCAGTTCTACTCTCTCCTATAAGGTTGCTGTGAGTCGGAATCTACTTGATGGCAGTGGGTAGTAATTTTTATTTTATTTAAGCAGAGCTTATTGTTAAACAATTGGAGACTCTTTCTAGATGAATACAAATTCATATTGGTCTGGTTTATAAGTTCACGTTTTAAAGGGTAGCTTATAGTCTTTGTAATTCTATGAAAATATTTGACAGGTTCATAGGCGCTTTCTTTTAAAAAGAATGAGAAAGAAATAACTGTTAGGATTCCACAATTATCAAATGCTTTGAAACCCTTCCTGGCAAAGAAGTTAAGTCCTCTAAACTAGAAAATGCATTATCCAGATATTTGCGTGTGTGACATACCTTCCAAGATTCTGTGGGCTCGGGCTCCACTTGCTCAGGTGGCATTTCTTCCCTTTTCACTTCAGCCTTCACTGTTTCCTTTGGTGTTTTCGAGACCACTGCTTTTTTGACAGGTGCACCTGGGACACTACCTTCCGTGATCTGACTTTGAGCAATGGCTGGTGCAGAGGTGGGCCGAGGGCTTCGTTCAGATGAATCAGCGCCTGCTGTTGTATGCAGAAAGGGAAAGGGAAAGGTGAGTGATCGCAAGACTGGCTATTCCACTCACACTTCTAAGTCACCATGGCAATAAAAGAAACCATTACTGATCTGCCATGTAACTGAGGGCCACAAGAAACTAGAAGTACCCTCAATAAAATAAAATTTAAAAAAGCTAAAACCTACTAGTGATCATGTTCCATAAATGGGGGAGGAAAACCAAGAAAAGAAACAGAAAACCCATGTTATTAAACAGTTAGTAAGGTTATTACCTTGTCATCTTCTACAAAGATAGCCACTTTTAAGGAACTGGAATATAGTCTATGGTGGGGGGAAAAAAAGTTAATTCTGACTTTGTCCAGAATTTAAAAAATAAAAACCAACTTATTTATAACTTAAAATATATTCTAAGGAAAATGATTAAGTCAGCTTTTTTCTATGAAGTCTCCTTGGAATGATTACAAAACAACTTGATAAATGGATCTTCTGAGAAAACATGTAGCACATTTCAATGCTTGTAAGGGCAAATCTTTGAACTAATAATTAGTCATATGATTACAAAAGTATGAATTCAAAACCTTTGTTCCTCAGCACAAAATATTTTGGGTACTAGAGTCTATCAATTTGTAGTAGAGCTTCTATTCTCTAATAATTTATAGCAGTGGTTCTTCACCAGGGATGATTTTGCCCACCAGAGGCTATTTGGCAATGTCCAGGGAAATTTCTGGTTGTCACCGCGGGGGAGAAAGAAGTGACTGACAACGAATCCGTTGAGGCTAAGGACACTACTAAACATCGCACAGTGCACACGACAGCCCCTGCAACACAGAAAGATTTTGCCCAATGCTAACAGCACTGAGGCTGGGAAACCCTGACTTAGGGAAAAGACTGCACAGATTGCTCTATAGAGAATAAACGACCAATAGAGGCATACGATGGTGTGGATCGAACGATTTAGCATTTAAGTTTTAGAAAACATACTCCAAAATAACCATTTATCCTCTTTTTTGTGGGCTTTACTTTGTTTCAGGCACTAAAAGAAAATGCTTCTACTCTTTGTAGTAAAACCTCACTTAAATGGAAATGTGTCAGAATGAAGTGGTTTTCTACATGTGTTAATATTTCCCTGATAGCAGTGTCATGTCCTGACACTTTATAATGCTAATACTTTGACATGGTAGTATTTACAGCTTTTATTACATATTTTCTTGCCTTCTTAAATTTATATATTAAACATAATTTATCCTGATATGTTTATATTCATTCATAAACTTTAAGGATTGGGCAAAACAAAGGAATTCAATGAAATCAGAACAAACAAACATTTTAAATTCAAGTTACTTCATACACACAATACCAAGAGTTGCTTGCACCCTGTAATGATCTCCAGTGAGAGGAATCATTCCTTTGAGGATTAATTAAGGAGGATGGCAGAAGCACAAGAAGCTAATTTGTCTTTCAATGAAAAATCTGTGGCCTTTTGCAAATCCCTACCACTCATGGGTGCTCTAAGCCAATCAATGCAAGAATGGCAGATGGCAGACCAAATCTAACAACACAAGATAATGTGACAAAATATTTTGCTCACAGTTGTGCTAAAGTATCATACATGTGTATTCACACCTCCTCTCAAAGAATTAATTCAACTCTGCTTGGCATCATAGAAACATAGCCCATGCGTTCACCATGTGTTATTTTGCCACTTGTATTTGGTTTTAATCCAATACTAATATTGCCAAGCAAATTATTTCTGTCTTCAGTATTCCTAGCCTGGCAATCTGTACTGCATGTGGAAAAGCAGATGTAAGACTGGAAATTGGGAGACTAGAAAAATGATGACCTCACAATGAGGAGCCCTGATCCATTTTGAAATTCTAGTTTGAAATATTCCCTCCTTTCTTTTTGTATGAGGTTTTTCTGATTTACTTGGTCATGGTTGCTGGGTCTTTTTTTGTCTGCATGCTTTTCTGTGTAGGGCAGTCAGGATGGGTGGCTCTATGAAGATAGCAGCTGGATTAGGAATTACCTGGGGGCATGCAAGGGAAGGGAGGGGTGGGGAAATGAGGAGTCAACAGCAATGGGTACAAGAAGGAAGAAAGTGTTCCAAAGTTGAGTGTGGTGATGATCGCACCCTTCTGATTATGATGAAACGAATGCATTGTGTGACGTTGACTATAGAACAATAAAATTATTTTTTAAAAAGAGTCAAAGCAGAATTAGAGAGTCTTTGATTTGAGCTTACTTTAGGCACATGGGGCAGAAGCTTACATGAAAGATATCAGTTCCACAGGAAAATTGGGTAAGGCATATGCAACTGAAATAAAAATCTTTAAAACTTTAAATAGTCATAACTTTTAACATACCAAAATTCTTGTATTTCTATTATTGGGGTAGGTATTATTTCATGAGTATGTTGAGCAAAAATTAATTATGTACACACAGATTGGCAATTCAAAGGAAAGATATCATCTGGGGGCCATGGAGACAGGCAGCATTTCCATTCCTTTTTTCAATCAGGAGAAAGCAAACTACAGATCACAACAGGGAATCATGCGAATGTTTTTTCAAAACAGCTTCATTGAGTTAAAATCCACATACTATACAAGTGACCCATATAAAATATATCATTTTTCTGTATATTCACAGGAAAGTTATTACTTTTCAAGATGATTTGAAGACTGTATTGTAATGAAATTTTTGCCATATTGACCTATGATGTTAACCTATAATGACTTATAATGTTGATTGGCTATCCCAATTAAATTTCTAAGACCTTTATGGACAACAATTTGGCTGTGGATTTTGAAATACATAAGAAAACTCAAAGGCTAAGAATATTCAAGACAATCTTAAAGTAAAATACAGCTGTTGAAGTCAAGTTCAATAAAACAGAAAATAACAAATGCTGAAGAGGCTGTGGAGAGATTAGAATCCTTATACACTGTTGGAGGTGTTGATTGCAAAGTTAATGATACAAAATGTAACCTTTCAAATTAATTGCTGAATAAAAACTGATGTGCCCCATATTAAAAAACAATAAAGCTTTTTAAAATCAAACAAAATGTAACCCCTCTCCCAATTTATGACTAAAAATTAGAATTAGAGAACTTACAGTATCAGATAAAGACTTACTATAGTGCTGGAATAATTAAGATAGTGGAGAACTGGCATGATAAAAAAAAATATCAAAGAATCAGAAATAAACACCCCATCACTTGATTAATAACAAGAGTAGGATTGGAATGCAATGGGGAAAAATAATATTTTCACTATATAGTGGTGAGCGAACTGATTGCCCAAATGAAAAATAAACTATATGGCTAGAATAAGTGAATTCAAAATATTTTTTCAATTCTCAAAATTTTGGGATAGTAATGTTAAACCCACTGAAGCACTGTCTTCCTTTAGAATTGTGGCCTATATGTTGAGCTGCTAGCCATAGGTCAGCAGTTTGAAACCACCAGTACTCTCGGCAAGAAAAACAGTTTTCTGCTCTCAAAGATTT